ATCCACTCACCTCAGCCTCCCAAAGGCGCGGGATTACAGGCTAAGCCACCGAGCCCGGCACATTAGCCATGTTTTAAGTACTCAGTAGCTACCTGTAGCTAGTGACTATCATATTGGGAAGCACAGTCTGTATGGTCCTAATCCTTATAGAAATTAATCGTGGGAAGACTTCTTGGACGGGCTCGGTGGCTCAGTCTGTAATCCCAGCACTGTAGGAGGCCGAGGCTAATGGATGGTCAGAGCCCGCAGGTTCGAGACCAGCCCAGGCACTTGGAGAGACCTCATCTCTACAATAAATCAAAAAGTAGCCGAGCATGGTAGCACGTGCCTGTAGTTCCAGCTACTTGGAAGGCTGAGGCGGAAGGCTCACTGGAGCCCAGCAGATTGACGCTGGGATGGCGGTGAGTGTGCCATGGCATTCCAGCCTGGGCCATGGAGTGAGACTCCAACTCAAAAAAAAAAAAAAAAGACTTCTGTGACTACATGCAACAGGATCTTAAAAATATAAGGAATAAGATTGGTGACCACTATTTCTCTTTTTGTGTGCAGATTACAATGACATGAAAAAACAGCTATCGAAGTGTAGCACAAACCTGTACCTGGTCACCGACTGCATGGAGCATGCTCTGACATCTGTACATCCCCGCACTCGATATTCAGTTGGCTGGGATGCTCAGTTTTTCTTCATCCCTCTATCTTATTTACCAACATCACTGGCAGACTACATATTGACAAGATCTTGGCCCAAACCCGCCCAGGCTGTCTAAAGAAAATTGGTTTGGTGGCTCTTGGAATGAAGACAAAAATCTGAAATTGGTTGTTAATTGTCTCAGTGATCTTTATTTAGAACCTATTGTTTTTGTAACAATAGCTTTCTTGACAAACACATTTATCTGGCATCACCAGAGAGTAAACATGCTTATAGTTCAACTTTTCAAAAGTTTCTGTTTTACGTGATAAATCTTTATTGTCTTAACCATTTTTTTTTTTGAGACTACCAGAATGAATCTTTCTTTCTTACTTTGCTAAGTGGAGTAGCCTGAGAACAGTCTAATCTAGTTTGATGTCATTTCTTTATGTATATGAATGGATGTTCTATGCTGTGATAAACTATTGCTCAGAGACTACTGAGAAATATATGGGTCTGTTTATGCATACCTGAAATGACTCTGTATTATGGTATTTTAAATAAATATTTGATGATTCTTTCTCTTTGCCAGCTGTCATTTTTTGCAATATATTTCTTCTTTACTTACAAAGAAGTAATTTTTAATTTTAAAATCAAAATAATAAAAAAATTCAATAAGGCCAGGCGTGTAGCTCAAGCCTGTTATCTCAGCAATTTGGGAGGCTGAGGTGAGTGGATTGTTTGGGCCCAGGGGTTTGAGACCAGCCTGGTCAACTTGGCCAGACTTTGTCTCTACCATAAATAAAAAAATTAGCCGGGTGTGGTAGCACGCCCCTGTAGTTCCGGCTACTTGGAAGGCTGAGGCGGAAGGATCACCTGAGCCCAGCGGGTCAATGCTGGGGTGGGTGTGAGCATACCACTGCACTCCAGCCTGGACAACAGAGTAAGACTCTGACTCAAAAAAAAAAATTCAATTAATATTAAAAAGCTTTAAATGAAAATAAAAAATCCCTCACTCTTATTCCCATCCTTCATTGCTGTTCAAAAGAGGCAAATGTTCTAAACTATTTCTACTGGTATTTATCTCTGCATTTAAAAATAATATACTGTTATGTTTTAACTTATTAAATACACATTCTCAATTGAATTATGATAAATTCAAATTTAACTTTTTTATAGCACTTTTCTACTCATTTCCTTTATCCTCATATTTCTAATATGATTTAATTATATATTTGGTTAAATTAATAGTATTTACATTGTTAAGTATGTGAATATTATTTACTGTTTAGTCAAGTATTTTTCCTTTATAGTAACTTTTATTATTGCTTTACTTTTTTGCTTGCAAAGGTTTTTATTTACCTTAACTCATTCGCATCATTTACATCATTCCAAATTCAGTTCCTGGTTGCTGCTGATGTGAATTTAAGTCTTTGCAAATTCTGTTTCTGAATGCTGCATGTTGTCACATGTGTGTGTTATTATATTTTGCTTGAAAATGAATGAGGCAAGGAGAAAGTTAATTGAGATAACTATCTGATATCTACTGTGCAATGTTCTTATTGATTTACATAGTTGGTAAACATTGCAAGTTGGTCATTATTTTGTTGCGATTAGTATATCTTGTATTTTGATGTTTCAGGACTTTCTTTTGTTCTTTTTTTGAGTCAGAGTCTCACTCTGTTGCCCAGGTTGAAAGGTAGTGGCACGCTCACAGCCACCGCAGCCTCGACCTGCTGGGCTCAGGCCATCCTTCCACTTCAGCCTTCCAAGTAACTGGAACTGCAGGCATGCGTCATCATACCCAGCTATTTTTCTTGATTTATTGTAGAGACAATGTCTCACCAAGTTTCCCAGGCGGGTCTCAAAGTCGTGGACTCAGGCAATCCAAAGTGCTGGGATTATAGGTGTGAGCCACTGCACCCTGGCCTTATTTCAGGGTTTTCATACCTCAACGTTAAAAATAATTTACCATAATGATGGAAGATGAAGAGATATATGCTGATGAGACTTCTGAGGTCGAAGGTGAATCGAGTGAACTTATTAGTGATAGTGAGACAGATAGTGAGGTACTGACGCAAAGTAAATGCAGAATTATATATATATATATATATAATATATATATACACACATTATATATAACATATTTGGTTTATAATAATAAAAGCACAAAGTACGGAATGCTAGTCAGAGAAGTGTCTGAGGCAAATACTGGATATGTCTGCAACTTTCAGCTGTATTTTGACAAAGGTGACAGTTTAGAAAAGACTATTTTACTTGTGCTTAACGATGTAAGTTTGCGGCAACCAGGTATGAGCCACCACGTCCAGTCCATTCTGATTCTTGTTCTTTTGTGTGTGAGTTGCTTTTGTCCCCATTCTGGGAGCTTTTGGATTCTTTTGTATTTATAAGATAAATACATATATATTTATTTGTTTTATTTGGAATCTTTTATTGCTGGTGTTTTAAAGCTTCACAACGATGGATATAGGGGTAGCTTTTTAAATTCAGTTATTATAAGCCATGATGTAGGAGAGAGATTGGAGAATTGCTGAAATGATGGCAAGAAGGTGAGAGAGAATTGGATTTAGTGTACAAGTGGGAGGATAGGCTTCAGATAGTAGCATGACTGGAGTAAGATTTTGTTTTCTGAAGGAATAGTAAATTAGTAGCTAGGAGGTCACTGCCATTGGTTCAGTAGCTCATCTATGTCAAGGTTAAGGTCTATGTGCATCTTTTGACCTTTTCCTCCAGCTTGCTCTCAAGGTTGTGAGACTGTTGCTGCAGGTCTGGACATAACATAAGTTTTCAAGTGACACCGTATAGGCTAACCTAAATAACAAACAGACATACGACCCCTCAATCCCCCTACTGGGAATATACCTGGAGGAACTCAAATCACTCTATGAAAAAGCTACCTGCACACATTTTTTTATTGCAGCATTGTTCACAATAGCAAAAGCATGGAACCAACTGTGCAGACCATCAAAAGAGGACTGGATAAAAAAAAAATGTGGTATATATACACGATGGAATATTACGCAGCAATAAAGAAGGACAAAATTATGAACTTCACAGCAACCTGGATGGACTTAGAATCTATAATACTGCGTGTCAACCGGGCTCGGTGGCTCAGCCTGTAATCCCGCGCCTTTGGGAGGCTGAGGTGAGTGGATTGCCTGAGCCCGCGGGTTTGAGACCCGCCTGGGCAGCGAGACCTCATCTCTACAATAAATCAAAAAATCAGCCGGGCGTGGTAGTGCATGCCTGTAATTCCGGCTACTCGGAAGGCCGAGGTGGAAGGATCGTCGGAGCCCAGCAGGTCGAGGCTGCGGTGGCCGGGAGCGGCCACTACACTCCAGTCTGGGCAACAGAGTGAGACTCCAACTCAAAAAAAAAAAATACTGAGTGTCCTATCACAGAAACAAAGAACTGAGTATGACATGTTCTCACTTACAAGTGGACCTTGAATAATTATTGTGACACTATAAGGAAGGGATTGGCAGTAGTGGGAAATTGCCAGGGGAGGATGGGGCCGGGATTGGCAGTAGTGGGAATCTGCTGGGGGAGAGGGGACACACCTCGTCAACAAGGGTACATGCATAATGAACATTTGTGTACCTGACCCTGAACTGTACCCCACATTTAAAAAGAAAAAGAAAAACTGAGAGACTCTCTAAGAGAAAAAGACATTATTTGGGAATAGAGCATTTCAATGGGAATATGCATGCCATAGTAAACCATGTGCGTATTTAGGGAGATAAAGGAAGAGAAAGGTTTTTAAAGGAAGAAATGATAAGAATTACAGTAACTGTTTTGAAATAATTATCTTTGGCCACAGATATTAATATTAAGGGTAATTCCAGCCCAGGTTTGGACAGGCAATTGTGGGGCAGGTGTCCTTGCAGAAGTACTTTTTTTGTGTAGGGTTGTAATGGCCTTTGCACAATGTTATGGTTTTTCCAGAGTCTTCTTTGTTATCAAGCCTACAAGCATGAGAACCTTCTCTTCCTCGGCTTTGTCAAGACTTTTATTTCATATACATATATTTTTGACATTAGTGACCCCATTTTGATTCTGATAGCTTTCACACAAGGCAACATGATAGTATACAGGAAAAGAGTGGTGTCTGCACCTGTCCTCTTCTATGAGGAAAGCAAAAGATTTCTCAGAAATCCCACTGCAGACTTTCCTTTATGTAAGGTGATCATGTAAATTATTGCCTAAACTGGGTCACTTTTTTTTTTTTTGAGTAGGAGTCTCACTCTGTCACCCAGGCTGGAGGGCAGTGGCATGCTTCTGGCCACTGCAGCTTGCCACCGCAGCCTCGATCTGCTGGGCTCAGGCGATACTTCCTCCTCAGCCTTCCAAGTAGCTGGAACTACAGGCACACATCTCGACGCCCAGCTAATTTTCTGATTTTTGTAGAGATGGGGGGTCTCACCAAGTTGCTCAGGCTGGTCTCGAACCCATGGACTCAGGCAATCCTCTCATCTCAGCCTCCCAAAGTGCTGGGATTTTAGGTGTGAGCCACCGTGCCCAGCCTAAAATGGTCACTTTTAAGAGCAAAAGGAGACACTATTAATAATTTACACAGCATCCTGATTTGATCTTTACACATTATATGAATGTATCAAATTATCACCTGAAAATTGGTACATCTATTATGTATCAATAAAAAACAAGAAAAAATGTCTACAGGGCAAGTACAAACAAGCACTGTACCAGGTCATCTAGTCACCTTACTTTGATGCAATACCATCATCTAACCTTTAATTCTTATATAAATTCTGTCAATTGTTCCAAAAATACTCTATATGGCAATTACAATTTTTTTCCAGGATCCAATACAGGGTCACACTTTACACTTAGGTGTCATGTTTCTATCTTCATCTAATTTAGAATAGTTTCTTAACTTTTCTGGTCTTTTAAGATTCTGATATTTTGGAAGAGTACCAGCCAGTTGTAAAGTGCCCTCAATTTAGATTTTATAATATGTCCTCATGATTAGATCCAGCTTACGCATTTTGGCAAAACTGCCATGGAAGTGATAATATTCCCTCTCAATGCATCACGTCAGTAAGCATAAATGCCATTTAATCTCATTATTGGTGATCTTTAATTTTGAATCTTTGGTTAAAGTACAGTCTGCCATGTTTCTCCATTGTAAAGTCAATTTGCGAGGATATTTTGAGATTGTATAAGTGTCCTGTTTCTCACTAAACTTTAACAAGTTAATCTTTGAATTGTT